GGTCGGGAGCCTGGGATGGCCACTGTGCAGGCTCGAGACCCCTGTCTCCGTCCTTGCTGCAGCCCTTTGCAGCTCAAGGTAGGTGTTGAACTAGAAACGATTTCCTGGTTCTGGGCATCGGCCACGCGGAGCAGACTTTCCGTGCAGTCCCAGGCACTGCCTTCACTGGGGCAGGGACAGCATTGCAGCATAATGGACAGACAGACACCGGCATGGCAGAAGACGGACCGAGTAGTCCTGGCCACGGGACACCTCTGACCCAACACTGGAATGTCGGAGCTTCTTTCCACCACCCTTTCTTCCCTCTGATTTTCTGGGATTCTCGCTGTGCTACTCACTTTGGTCTCCTTGGTTGGACGCCTTTCCCAGCTGAAGTTTGCTGTTCCCTGCAAGTAACAGCTTGCTGCCTTCCAGAAGTTCCTTCGGAAACGGAGGCGCAGAATGATGGGAAAGGAATGTGGGGAAACCAGATTGCCCGATTTTAGGTGGAATTTTCAATGCGAAGGACTCTCCATCTCTGGCCTGTGGGAGAAGTGTCTGGTCCCCAGGTTAGAAGACCTTGTATCTGATCACCGAGAAACAGTCACCTTAAAGGAAGGCTATTTTCTTAGGTACAAAATATTTTTTAAATCAAACCTCAGACTGTAACATTTTAAACATTTTAAGGCTCTGACAAACAGCTGTACGCTGAGTTCCAGTGTGATATGAAGGGTCTCTTTATTGTGCCCCTGCTGGGAAAGGTTGTGTTGGCCAAAGTGCTCACTCCGCAAAGGCCTCAGGGAGTTTAGCTCCTTCATGTTAATTAGCAAGAACAGAGCCCAGCGTGGTGAAGGCTTTGGGATGAGAAAGTCGGGTTCCTGTCTGGGCACCACATCTCACCTGAGTGACTTCAGAGCTTGGAGCTGGAGTCCTCATTCTTAACACAGATTCCTGAGAGCAGAAAGGAGACGTCCAAGCCCAAAGACAGTAGCTAATGCAGATCGCATCACCAGAAAATGGTAGCATAGGCTATGATGAAGGGGCTCTGGGTGGACCCTGTGATTGCACCCTCCCTGGGAGGGTGGAGCTGCCTGTGAGCTTTTGCAGTGAGCGGTGATGGGGAGCAGCCTTGGGATCCTTCTGGTCATAAAACCACCACTGTATGAATTACTTCTGAACTCCTGAATTTGATTCAAACATCAAATCTGCCCTAAACCTGCTTGGATTTGCAGTAGTCAGTTTATGGATTTGAAATTATTGATTTATCTGTCGAGTGTCTTTTGAGATTCCCTTAGTGCTTATAAAAGTGCCTTTTCAAGTGAATTCATAGCTGATGCGACACCGTCGGTTTAATTATGGTTGGTTGTAAAACTACTGTTCCTGAGATGCCAACATAATCCCATTTGATGTTGTTCTGGGAGGCTGAAGGAGGAACTGAGTCTTGGAGTTAATTTTTCACTGGGCGGCTGTGACTCAAAGTGAGCTGTGAGCAGTCAGGTGTCTCCGGGCTAAGTAAGGGCTGGTTAGCAGTGAGGGCCTCCGGCCCCACCCAACCGGATGAGGACCCTGCACGATCTGAGACCCGCAGCTGCAGAAGCCCCGCCTGCCTCTCCGTGCGCATTGCTGTTTCTCAGTGTTTGTCTGAGGAAAACAAGATTTCTTATGAGCTACTACTACATAGTAAAGTTTTTCTCTGGTGTGAACAAACTATAATAGTACATAAGATCCTAATGAGATAATTGACAATGTGAAATAGGAAGAAAAGGGCTAAAGGTGTAGGGAAAGTGGGAAGGGTAGGGGAAAAGTAATAAGGGAAAGAAAAAATAGGAGAAAATGAAAAAAGGGAACTAAAATGTTTGTAAATGGGGAGGGGAGGAGGGAGTGAAGGGAGGGCAGGAACAAGGGGAAAAAATGATAACCAACATCTGTCATGTAAAGGTAGCAGATCCCAGTGATGAATGTAACTGTATTGTATACCTAAAATGTACCAATATGCTTAATGAGGAAAAAAAAAGTTTTTAAAAAAGACGATTTTAGTCTTTAGGCTGTCACCCCTGTCTTTCAGTCTCTTGCCAAAAGTGTATCCAAAAACTTCATTGATTCATTTACAAATCCTTCTATTTTTCAGTACTGGGGATTGAGCCCAAGACCTTCACACTGAGCTACAGCCCAGCCCTTTTTCATTTTTTATTTGAAAGCTCAGTCTTACTAATTTAATAAGTTGCCCAGGCCAGACTCAAACTCGTGATCCTCTCGCCACAGCCTCCCAGAGTGCTGGGATTACAGGTGTCTACCACCACATCTGGCTCATATCAGTCTTTCTGAGGCATACAACAGTGGTCTAAGTAAGTCAAATACATGCCAGTAATTATTAATGAAGTCCAAAATAATGAATGAGGTCAAAATTATTTTTATTTTTATTTTTTGAGCTTTTGTACCAGATGTCAGTATCCACAGGAGGGATATAATACAGTAAGTTCCTGGTTTATGAACGTTCGAGTTTTGACCTTTCATAGACACATTAGAAACATTCACATTCGGGGAGGCAAACAAATTGCAGAAGAGCGGTGCCTCAGTTCACAAACTTGATTCTTTCCTTGATTCTGATCACAAACTGAATTAAATTGTAGCTGATGTGTGTGCCTGATGTTGTCGCAGTTGTGTTGCTGTGTGCTTACTGTACAATGCGATAATGCACAGTAGCACCGTGCAATCCAGGAGTTAGTGTGTCTGTGTGTGTTTGCATTTTTTATGCCTTAGATTGTATATTTGTGTCGCAGGTGTATAAGATCTAAGAACATTCTCCTGGAACGGAACTTGGTCGTAAGTCAGGGACTTGCTATAATATACATCTGTTAGCAATATTAGAGGTAGAGAAAGTTTTAAGGCATTTTGTTTAAAATCAACTTTTTTGAGGCATAATTTTCACACAACAAAATGAAATAAATGTGTATGCATTATAATCTGTACATTTCATTGTAATTAAATTACACCTCAATGAAAGCTGATTTTTTAAAAATCTGTGGAGGATTACCATGGTCTACTGCCTTTATTAGAGCTTTGTCTTTATAGTTAAGCTACTGAATTTAATGTCTGGGCACCAGAAACCCTGAAGAGTTTTAGAAGAAGAGGGGCTAAAATGAAAAACAAAGACAAAAACCAGTTTTGCTTTGCAGGGTCTCCTACAGTGTCCTCCTCCTCCGTCTGATCAGATCTGCCCCTTACCCAGCAGACACTGCCAGAGTCACAATGCTCTCCTCCAGCGACTTTGCAGCTGCATCCTGGGAGCTCATGGTCCGAGTTGACCACCCGAATGCAGAGCAACAGCGGGACGTCACCCTTAGGGTGTCCGGGGACCTGCATGTGGGCGGCGTGATGCTCAAACTGGTGGAAGAGATCAGTAAGTTGGCTTTACCTGGTGGTTCCTCTCCATCGCATCCCTACTTCCTGGCTCATCAGCCCACCTGATCACAGGTTTCTCTGCTCATCCACCTCCCTGTGCCCAGGAAGAAGGTGCCTCCTCGTTGACCCCCTGTCTCTCCCAGGAAGAAGAGGCACAATAGGGAGCCCTGCAGGAGCCTAAAGCTAACCCTTAACCACCTTTGTACAGCTGAGTCTTTGGGGGCCATAGGACACCTCCCAGTAGGTATCAGCTGTACTTCCATGAGGACAGTACCCACTCCACTGGTGACATCGAAAGTAACTTTAGGTGATGGCATTAGACGAATGTGGAGAATCTCTGCTAATACTTGGCTGCTTGGAGATAAGTCAGCTTGGCGCCAAGGTATCTAATTACACTTATTCACCACGGGCTGCTACACCTCATAAAAAGGAGCAGACGTCACATCAGACAACACCACATTACTATTGACCTAGAATACAATAACTTTGTGTTTTCTTTGTGCTTATGTTCCCTTTTTAAGCCTTTTATATGCTAGCTTTTCATTTACACTAATGAGATGATGTCTTTTTTAGGTAACACTTAGCTGAAATATAAAATACGTAGGTAAAGTGCATTTCTAAGGGCATACGTCCACTGATTTAAGTCGTGTAACCATCACCTAGATCAAGATAGACCTTTACCTATTTCCCCACCCAGACCCCATACCTGACCTCTCCCAGTTGTTACTACACAGGGTAACCACTATCCTAGATGCTAACACCAAGAATAATTTGGATAGTTGTTGAGTTGCATATAAAAGGAATTATATAGGGTATACTGTAATAGATCTTCTTTTACTCAACATTATGTCTGTGAGATTTATTCATATTGTTGCATGTAGTTTTAGTTCATGTTTTCATTGTTGTATAATATGACAACATTCTGTGCATAATATGTGTGAATCTACCACAGTTTATTCATTTATGTTGCTTTGTTTTGTTTTATTTTGTTTTTTGAGGCAGGGCCTTGCTACATAGTTCAGGCTGGCTTTGAACTCCCTAAATGTCCTAAACTGGCTTGAGTTCACAGCAATCATCTTACATCAGCCTCCTGAGTGCTGGGATTGCAGGCTTAGTTACTTTTCTTATTAGTGGGACAAAATACTCGATGCCCAAAGTTAAAGGAGAGAAGGCTTATTTCAGCTTACAGTTTGTAGAGGTTTCACTCCATAGTTGGCTGGCTCCAAGGCAGGGTGGCATGGCAGAGGGTCATAAAAGGTCACCAGCCTTTTGAGGGGTGCCACCCAGAACTATGCTGATTTCAGTCAGTGGACTAATTTAGTACCACACACCCTTAATCCCAGTATCACGTGCCCTGGATCCAGCCAGTTCCAAAAAGCCCCATGTACAAGAGCATGAGGCTTTGGAGGGATATCTAGACACAAGCTGTAACCACCCTCTTCAGTGTCAGTGCTTCAGAACTGGGATCCTGGTGATGCTTCCAGGAGAGTGAGGGTTGTGAAGTGAAATGTCACCTTCCAGCCTCTTCTGTCCGCATTTCCAGGGGCTGTGAAAGCTCCCTGAGGATCCTGTGGTACAAGGGTGCATTTGTATGAGAGGAATAAGACTGATTTTTAAAAACCAAATGCTTTGGACCTTCCCAGAAAGCCAACAACACAGGGGTTTTAGGACAAAGCGTTTAGCATTCATCCTGAACAGGAAGTTCAGGCTTCTGTTCCTTCCACCGTACTTCAATGTGCATGGAGGTAGAGTTCCGGTGTCTTCTCCCTGCCCCACCTGGGAGACTCCAGAGAGACGCCAAGGACTGAGTCCTGTACTGTAAAGAGGTGCAGAGCTAAGGATCAGCTGTTGATTTCGGGTTTCGTACACAAGGAAGTGGACTCCAGGCACTTCCGCTGGGTTGGCTCTGTCGCTTTACCTAACTGTGTTTCCAATGTTTGCAGACATCGCCCAAGACTGGTCGGATTTCGCTCTGTGGTGGGAGCAGAAGCATTGCTGGCTTCTGAAAACCCACTGGACCCTGGACAAATGTGGGGTGCAGGCCGACGCCAGGCTTCTCTTCACCCCTCAGCACAAGACGCTGCGCCTCCGCCTGCCCAACCTGAAGACGGTGCGGCTGCGCGTCAGCTTCTCCGCAGTGGTGTTCAGAGCTGTCAGCGACATCTGCAGAGCCCTGAGTGAGTCCCGAAGCCCGAAGCCCGGGCCCTTTTGACTCTCAGCTCCAGAATCAGAGAAGAACGCTGCTTCACGCGGCCTGGTGCCCCTGGTGAGGGAGCACCGCTTGCCTAGCAGCTATAAGCCCAGTCCGTATCCCACAGACTTGGGATCACATTTCCACCCAGCCTGAAGCAATTTCAAAAGGCATTTGTAAACAGAAGGGCAAACCATTAAGGCTGCCCCAAAATTCATGTCCCCACACTATACTCAAACCATTATTACATTAAAGACCAAGGGGGAGAGAGTTGTGTTTCATCCTTTATCATTGTAAGAGCTGGTGCTTTTGAGATGGTGCTGTTGTGGTGTCTTAACAGCTTCGTTAACACCTGGTTCAGTAAATAACTGTCCACAAGTCACTTGTGAGTGGAAGATGAATTATTTCTGGATAGGTGTCCCTAAGTAGAACAGAGAGATAAGGCTGACCATTTCTTCTTTATGGTATTCCACAAAGGTAGGGAGCTTTGTGCTGTGAAGGTCTTGATGATATTTTGTTGCATTTTGCGGTCCTGGGATTGAATCCAGGGTGCTCTACCTTTGAGCTACACCATTTTTAATTTTTACTTTGAGACAGGGCTTTCCCAGGCTGGTCTCAAACTTGAGATCCTCCTGGCTCAGCCTCTCAAGCAGCTGGAATTACAGGTATGTGCCGCCATATTGGACTGAAAGCTAATATTTTTGTCTGGGCATGGTGGTGCATGCTTATAATCCCAGCACTGCTCAAGAGCATCACTGAGAGTTCGTGGCCAGTGTGGACTACATAGTGAGCCCAAGGCCAGCCTGAATTACAGAATGAGACTCTGTCTCAACCCCCCCAAAAATAAAAGTTAATATTTTATATTTTTTGAAAGAATATAGATATCTTCTTTGGTACCAAAGCCAAAAATAAGCATTTGAATCCAGAATAGGTACTGTATATATCGGTGAGTAATCTATTCCATCTATTAAATTGTAAAGCACTTGATTCACTCGCTTGTAAGTTATTTATGGAACCTACTAAGTGGCAAGTAGTGTGACAAGTTCTGGGCAGAAATTGTTGAAAAAGATCACTGAAGCCTCCCCCCTCTTGGAGGTTACACTCTAGCACGCAGAGATAGATAATAGCCAATACATGTAAGAAGTAAGAAAAGGATAAAGGATATAGAAAGAGAAGGAAGCGGGTAGTAGGAGCAGGGTTGAGAATCCCAGTGTTGGACAGTGAGAGGGGATAACATGAAATAGGGCCAGGGCAGAAAGCAGGTCTCGGCAGGTCTGTGTTCCTCCGTCCTGCGGTGCCTGGCAACACACAAGCTGTCTGTCAGGTGACCATTGAGCGAGCAGTGAATGGACACTTCCATTCCAGAGCATCACCGCCAGTAGGACCCTGGTGCAGGGCCCAAGGACATACACAATCCGGCTTTGTTTTCAGTTTGAAGACAAAGTTAATGATTAAGTAAAATAGTGCTTCCCACACAGGGCAGCAGACTGGAAGTTCACATCATAGCCGAGGCCAAGAACTTGAGGTTTCAAATAAATGGCAGCAGTCCGATGTCCTCTTCCCTGCGTGTATCTTCATGATCATCTTAAGGCTCCACCTCGCATTTCTTTTTTGAGACAGAATCTCACTCTATAATTCAGGCTGTCTTTGAACTCACTATGTAGCGCACACAGGCTGGCCTTGAACTCATGATGATCCTCCTGCCTTAGCCTCCAAAGTCCTGGATTACAGGCATGTACCACCACACCCACTTCACTTAGGGTTTCTTCTACTTCTTCTCCTCCTCCTCCTCCTCCTCCTCCTCCTCCTTCTTCTTCTTTCTTCTTTCTTCTTTCTTCTTCTTTCTTCTTCTTCTTCGTTTTTTGAGACAGGGTCTCACTGTATAGTTGAGACTGACCTGGAACTCACTTTGCAGTCCAGGCTGGTCTCGAACTCATAGCAATCCTGCCTCAGCCTCCCAACTGCTGGGGTTATAGGCATGCAGCACCACGCCAGGCTCACTTGGGGTTTCTAACATGGATTTTTACATCTGTCTGGTTGAATTAAGTCACAGTTGTTGTTCAGTCACTTTTTAATCACCAAGACATGGAATGGGGGTTGGGAAGTGAAACAGAACAGCAGGCTGCCAACCAGGTCACACCCTGAGCAGCTAGAGACTCAGAGACAGTGAACACCCAGCCTCGGAGTGGTACCTCCCCCTTGGAGAAGGTGCTTGTGCACCACTGGGGGCCACTACTGGGGAGCATGAGTCCCCTGACCTTGTGGACTGTTGTGTGGCCCCGGCCAGGCACCAGAGCGAGCCCTCAAGCAGAAGACCAATGTCCTTGAAGCTCCTGAAGTCGTGCACTGAAACTGGAGGGCCAAGAAGAGGTGCAGGGTTGGGAATGTCATCCCAGGCAGCAGGGTGAGGGAGAAAGGCGATCAGGCCTGCGGGCCACAGAAGAGGGAGGCCAGTCCTAGGAGGTGGTCACAAAAAGGAGAAAGAGGGAGGAGAGGCGGAGGGAAAGGAGAAGAACTAGAAATTGTGCTAGACTGAATCTCCCTCCACTACTCTTCCCCAGAAAGGATGATGCACTCTAGTTTTGTTTTCCTCCCAGGAATTTCCTGGGACTTCTCATCAAATGAACAAAATACTTCTCTCTGAAGGAATTTTCTCTTTACTTTTTTTTTTTTTAACTTTACTGAAATACATCTGGTATTTTATTCTTTTAGATATTAGAAGATCAGAAGAACTTTCCTTGTTAAAGCCTTCTTGTGACTATTTTAAGAAGAAAAAAAAGAAAGACAAAAGCAATAAGGAGCCTGTAATTGAAGATATTCTGAACCTAGAGAGCTCTCCAACAAGTTTGGGTTCGCCGGGTAAGAGCTGTTCTTTTAATTTTGTTTTGTTTTGTTTTGTTTTTTGTTTTTTTGTTGTTTTTTGAGACAGGGTCTCACTATATAGTTGAGACTGACCTGGAACTCACTATGTAGCCCAGGTTGGTCTCAAACTCACAGCAATCCTCCTGCCTCAGCCTCCCAAGTGCTGGGATTACAGGCATGCACCGCCATGCCTGTCTTGTTCTTTTAATTTGTAAGTGTAGATGAAAACCAAAGAGGAAAATACCTCTTTCTCTTTCCCCTCCCTCTCTCTCCTCTCTCTCTCTCTCTTTCTCCTCTCTATCTCTCTCAAAAGAGGAATAAAATTGCAGGGCTGATGAGATGAGATGATGTCCAGTAAATATTAGAAATAACAAAAATTTATTTCAGCTTTTTCCTCGATAGATATCCTTAATAACTCATTATTATAATTGCATATCTTAAGTTGCTGGAGAATGCGAAGTTTTGGTACAACTGCCCATGAGTTGGGAATCAAGGAGCGAGTGATGGTTAGACAGAGATGAGTTGGGGCCACTCAAAGTGTTTCTCTCTCCCTGACTCTCTGTGTGATTCTCTCCTGAATTCGATTTATTAGGGCGGTAAGAGTTCTGAAGAGATGTCATTCCCTTCTTTTAATTCCACAGTAACCAGGTCTCTAGCTGTGTACCACTGTGAGGGTTTCCTTGCATACTATATTCCTATGCAGAGCATAAGAGGCCTATTTGTATTGTATGTCAACCTGCGTCATATGGTCAAGTTGCTGGGTTCTTAAAATTGGCAAGTTCTTTTTTTTTCTTTTTGGTACTGGGGATCGAACTTGGGTCCTAGTGCTTGCAAGGCAGGCAGCGGAACCACTGAGCTAAATCCCCAGCCCTAGTTTTGCCATTTCTTTAAGGGATTGTCTGACATCCTTACATCCTTAATAGATTTGTTCTGCAAGTTTTCATTTTTTCTAATACTGTCAAGACCTCTGCTAAAATAAGAGAACATCCAATTATTAGGAAAAAACTGGTCTTCTACATCTGTCTGTGTTGATTTTTGGAAGCCTTTACATCTTTGAGTTCCTAGGAGCCGAATATACAGTCCTTTACCTGCGTTCAGCTCATCTCTCTACCATGACAAATTCTATGATAAATGGCACTGGCACTTTGACAAATTTCATTTTTAGTGCATTCCTCCCCCGAGTCTCAGGGTAGCGCATGTCTTCCCTGGCCTTTTAGGAAGTGCTGGCTTATACAGCAAGACCATGACTCCCACCTATGACCCCATCAACGGGACTCCGGTGTCGTCCACCATGACGTGGTTCGGTGACAGCTCCTTGGCGGGGCAAAGCTGCAGCCTCCTCGCCTCCAGCCAACCCCCCCAGCCCCCAGAAGCACTGGCTGATATGTTCCAGCCTCGGTCCCTGGTGGAGAAAGCCAAGCTTAACGCAGGGTAAGCATGGGGCTCCGCTGTGCTTCTCTCCAGACGGTGGGGTGGCCTTAGCAAGAGAGAGGTCACAGAGAGGGGAGGTTTTACGTTGAATGGCCTGGAGACTGGGCTGCATTGGCAAAAGCTGCGCTGACATCGACAGCAAGAAGGGTCACTTCAGCCCCTTTACAGGCATGACAGAACAACAGGTGAATTGGGAGAACTCAGTGGCTTACTGTGGGCGAATGTAATTCCCTGCTGCTGCGGGTGTGTGAAGTGTTCTGTGGGCATAGAGCCGTTTGTAAGAGGTGGGCCCCTGTGAGCCCTTCAGCGCAGTCTCAAGTGGTCCAGCCAGCTGTTCGTGCTGTCTTTGGAGAACCCGGCCCCTTGCCATGAAGGAGCAAGTCCTGGACCTCAGTTTGAAATGGCTTCAGAAAGTCACCCGAATCACTTCTCACGCCTCACTTGCTCTCCATTGAAGTCCACCTTGTGAGCGGCATTCAGCTCTCTAACAGTCCTGGCCCCAGGGATGTCTGGGTCCCCACTGTGCCCCGGACAACCTCCCTCCTCCTGTCCCTTCTCCACCTCCTAACCCTCCCCCGGGCCATCTCTGCTGCCCATTCTCTCCTTGTCCCTTAAGACCCAGCCATGTGCCTCTCTCTCTGTATCAGGTGTCTCCAAAGCTGGTCTCTTCCCTGCAGTTCCTAGCTAGCCTTGGGCTTGCCTGGGTGTTACGAGGTTGCTCTGTCCTGAGGCTCTCTGTGTGGACAGTCCCCACCTGGGACATCCCTGAACAAGGCCTGAGAGGGTGAACCCCAGCCTCACCCTTAGCCTCTACTCCTCACCATTACCGAGTTGTTGTTTTTTTTTAATTAATTTTATTGGTACGTTTTAGGTATACAATATAATGACATTCATCAACGGAAGTTTGCACCTTTACATAATCCTTCTTGATTCTTATTTTTCTCCCTTGCCCTGCCCTCCCTACAACCCCTCCACCCCTCGCCCAATTTTATTTTCCAACTCTAAAATTCCACTGACCCTAGCCACATGTGACTATCGACATTTAAACTTGGACTTAAATTAATTGAAATTAAAATGTGGCATTAACCACATACAGATATCCGATAAGATTGGTGCAGTGGAGAGGCTGTGCGGGAAGTCATGGGCACAGATCCTCTAATGCCGCTCAGCTTCGAATTCCCCCGTAAGGCCCACACTGGGCCTGACCGTTGCATTTGATTCAGTTCTTTTTTTGTTTGTTTTTTGGTACCGGGGATCGAACTCGGGTCCTCGTGCTTGCAAGGCAGGCAGCGGAACCTCTGAGCTAAATCCCCGGCCCTGATTCCGTTCTTATCCAATTCAGTTTGCTCCTTCAGCCTATATCAGAAGCAGTATGTATCAAATGATGTGTGTAACTGACTTGCTTTAAACCCATACTGCTGTTTTCCAGTTGGCTGGATTCGTCGCGCTCCCTCAAGGAACAAGGCATCCAGGAGGACGAGCAGCTGCTGCTACGATTTAAATACTACAGTTTCTTTGACTTGAATCCGAAAGTAAGCTTTTCCCCTTTTCTTTCCCAGTCTTTTTGAGTGTGAAGTGCAAAACTGAGTCCCTGCCTTATCAGAATTAGGATCCGCATTGATTCTCTAGACCTGCGGCCGGTGGGCGAGGCCGCTGTCCCTGAACTGGGTGGGGGGGGGTGGCGCTGCTGTCTGCGTTCAGGGGAGGAAGAGGGAGGGGAGCCGCTCCCAGCCCGAGTCCTCAGAGTCCTCAGCGCTTGGGGAAGGAAAAGACTTTGCTGGCCAGGGGTGAGGTCAGGTTCACAGCCAAGAGAGTGCACCGCGCCTCCCGCACTGCTAAGAAATCTTTGAGAAAAAGGGAGGATCTGTGCAAAGTCCCCAGCTGGCCAACAGCTCCATTTCCAGTGCACATCTGCAGCCTGAAGTTTATTGGGATAAAGAAAGATGGGGAGCAAATACTGCAAGCTTCTGCCCTTGCCTCGCCCCGCTAGCCGTGCTGTGGCGCTGCATGTCCGCCCAGAGATGGCCCAGCGTGGAGTACAGAGTGCCGGCCCTCGGGGTAACCAGGGAGCAGTTTCAGTGTTTGGCGACAATGGATAGTGCTGCTGTGCACATTCATGTACATATTTGTTTTTTATTGTAGTAAAGTACACATACGTAAACTTCGAGATCTTAATCCTTTAATTCAGTGGCACTGAGTACATTTACTGTGCTGTACAACTGTTATCACTATCCATTTCCAAAACCTTTTCATCGTCCTAAACAGAAATTGTTTGTCCATTACACAGTAAATCCCCCTCCTCACCTCCTTCCAGCCCCGATAAACTCTATTCTATTTCCTGTCTATGTGAGTTGATTTATTCCAGGTAGTTCATGTAAGTGAAGTTATACAGTATTGGTCCCTTTTATCTCTGATGTATTTCACTTGGTAAAAGGGCCTGGAGGACTCATGTTGTATCATGTATCAGGAATTCTTTTCTTTTTGGTACCGGGGATGGAATTCAGGCCCTTTGGCTTGCCAGGCAGGCAGGCCGCAGAACCACTGAGCCAAATCCCCGGCCCCTATCAGGACTTCTTATTCCCTTAAGGCTGAATTATATTCTATCATGTGCATAGATATATCACTGTATCACCTCTTTTTTATTGGTTTGGTGTTTGGCTTTTGGCTTTTGGAGCCTTGAACTCACACGAGGTGCTCCTCTGCTCCGGCCTCCTCCTGCATGCAGGAGTTATAAGTGTGTGTCACCACGCCCAGCTACGCATCACCTTTCATCTCCTCAGCCGTGGACATTTGGGTGCTCACACGTCGGGGCTATTGGACATAATGCTGCCACGAGCATTGCTGTAGGAGGGATCTGTTAGAATCCCCGATTTCCATTTTCTTGGGTATACAATACATATAGGAGCGGAATCCCTGGATCATATTCCAAGTTTATCTCTCCAAAAACTGCTAATCACTTTTCTTTGGAGGTTGCACCATTTCACATCCAACAGTGCACAGGCGTCTCATTTTCCACGCCCTCACCAGCACTGGTTGTTATCGGTGTTTTAGATCAGAACCAACCTGGTATCTCACTGTGGTTACATAAATATTTTTGGATGGTGTGATTTTTTGTTCTGAATTTTTTGTTCCTCAACTAACTAGGCATTTTCAACACAGCATCCAGCATTGAATTCTTTCTTTCCTTACTGATATAAAGCATTACCTTTAATAATAATTATGTGTGTGTGTGTGTGTGTAGCCCTGTTTCCAGGTATTGTTTTATTACTTTCTCCACTGTATTCTGATACCATGCTAGTGTAATACCTGTAGCTTTATAATATGCTTTGATGATTGTGAGGACAACTGTTACTATATAGGGGAAATGAAGGTAATTCTCAAACCTGTTAGATATCCAAAGCACGAGTTCATGTTCTCTAAAATCAAAGAATGAATTCTAGAAACAATGAAGGTTAAGAGTAGGAAAAATTTATTGAGAGAAAGAAAGCTTCTAAGAGAGACAGAAGGGGGACTGGAAAATGGGTTCCTGCCAGACTGCTTCTCAACGGTGTTTTATAGGACAAAGCCAAGAGGTGAGGTGGGTTCGAGGTGGGACAAAACTATAGTCAACTTAGTAAGATTACAAGTACAGTTCCTTATGTAACACTGATCCAATGAGAAATCACAAGGTGGACAAAACTGGTCAACCATTAAGGTTATGACAAGTGTAGTCACTTGGGTAATATTAATGAGATGGAGATCCAGTGGGGAAGCAAGTCCTGTAGCAAGTGTACAGGATTTTTGGTCAGGGATGGTCCCTGGAAGGGGTAGGTGAGCTCTTGGTCCCCCACCCAGATGAGTGATACCTATTTAGAGTATCAGTCACTGCTGTTCCTCCTTAGGGGAAGCACTGGGTGTTGTAGTTTCTCTTTTACAATGCTGGCTTTCAGTGAGCTGCATCCCCAGGCCCAGTGAATGTGTCTTTGACTGTCCTCGGTGTTGGCTCCTGGAAGGCTGGCCCTAACTGCCCATAAGAAATCTAATTAACTTACCTAACTTCAATGCTACTCCCAACATTGTTCTCTTTCAAATTTTTCTTGGCAGGTTTTGAACAGTATCTCTTCCGCGTTACCTTGAAAATCAGCATGAAGTTCTGTTTAAATATCTATCAGATTTTGCCTGGGATTACACTGTCCTTGCAGATCCCTTCTCTTTATACTACTTATCATTTTAAAGCATTTTTACTGTCTGGTTTCACTGCCAAAGAAATGTGGTAAAGAGAGGGAAAATAATGGAATAGAAAGTGGGTCAGTGTGACCCCTCGAAGAAGCTCTGGAAAATATTCATGAAAAGGAAGGGCTGAACTCAGAAATAAAGCAAGCTGTGGCGATAGACAAGTCGAGGTGTTGCTCCCAGTTACCTGAACTAAGCGCAGTACATCCCCTTCTCAGAAAATGGCCTTGGGAATCCAGAAGTTTTGAACTGTGGACTATAAATACACCCCCATATTCATGCACACACATGCACATGTTTCTTTCTCCAGTACGATGCTGTCAGAATAAACCAGCTCTACGAACAAGCCAGGTGGGCTATTCTCTTAGAAGAAATCGACTGCACAGAGGAAGAAATGTTGATCTTTGCAGCACTCCAGGTATGGGGACTTAAGTACTTTTCGTCTGCAAGGTCATGCTGCTGAATGTTTCATTTCCTTTGCATTTTTTTCCCCTTTGATAAAATAAATGAAAAAGATATGCGTAGATTTAAATTTAAAATATTCTTCACAATTCATACATGTGTGCATGCTGTTTGAAGCATCTGTCTTCCCAGCCTGATTTCTTCCCTACCACAACCCTGACCACTGATGGGAAAGGACCAAGTCGAACCTGACCTTCCCTAAGGACAGAGGGGTGGGTCAGACTCAAAGGTCGTTTTCCCTGTGCAGGTGGGAAACCTCCTTTTGGAGGATGTTCATTATCCCAAGGAAATTATCTTCAGAGAAGAGGGAGTAGTTAATGGCTTTGTGTGTGTTTATAATTATTTCTGAAATCCGTGTTTTCACCTAGTATCACATCAGCAAGCTGTCACTGTCCACTGAATCTCAGAATTTTACGAATGAGTCTGAGGTTGATGAAGTTGAAGCTGCACTTTCTAATTTAGAAGTGACTCTCGAAGGTGGAAAATCAGACAGCACTTTGGTACGGACTTTTCTGTTAACTCGGGATCATGGCTTTGTTCCGACTGATGAACAATTCCAGGGGAACATTTTCAAATGAGAAATAAGAAAATATTTCATCTGATTTTGTACAGTATGAGCAGGCTCTTGTAAAATATGAATGTGTGACGAGCTTCAATTTAACAAGAACTGGCTAGCTGTTCTCAGGTTACCTCTGCAAGGGACTGACTAAGATATTTTTGCATCATGACTAATGATAGTGCTTTTTGTATTGTACTTCTTCCTGGGAATAAGTTGGCTTGGTGTGAGGGAAGGACTGCTGGGAAGGCCACTTCCTACATAGAACATGGACTTGGTCCCTTAGGTCTGGAAAAAAGCACTGTCTATGCAGCAGCAGCTGTGAGAGGAGAGAAAATGCTTTGCAGATGGTCTTATTATCTGTTTAGCCGATCGAGATCAGTGGAAGTGAAGGCCCTTTTTTTTTTTTTTTTTTTTTTTTTTTTTTTTTTTTTTTTTTTTTTTCTTGGCTTTTTGAGACAGAGTCTCACTATGTAGTTGAAACTGACCTGGAACTCACAATGTAGCCCAGGCCAGTTTCAAACTCACAGCAATCCTCCTGCCTCAGCCTTCCGAGTACTGGAATTACAGGCGTGCTCCACCTCACCCAGCTGTGAAGGCCTTTTTCTAGAGTACTGTCCAACATTCCTAAACCCTTTTAATTTCAAGAAATAAAGTTTTAAAGCCCTCCAGTAAAACATAAAGAAACAATTTTTAACTGTTTTTTTGGTGCCGGGGATCAAACTTGGGACTTTGCGCTTGGTGAATGAAGCAGGTGGCAGAACCACTGAGCTAACTCCCCGGCCCCAAAACGTAAAGGAACAAATTGACTTCTTTGCTCCTGATCCATGAAGTGTGGCAGAATCCTGTTTGATTCCTTCATCGGGTGCCACCTTTTTGTTTAACTTCTTCAATCATGGGGGTAATTATTAGCTTAATCGTGTTGAATTAAAGAGGTAGATCCATTGTAACTGGATCTAAATAGTAGTAGTAATGGATAAGAATGAGTCACTATGTTCCTAAACATCTCACCGAGTGTTCTCTTATCTTTCATTAACCACCTGAAAATAAGAACAAATAGTTGCTACAAACTAAATGCAAAGGTCCTGCAGATTGCAGAACCCTATTTGTAGGAGGCGTGAGCCCCAGGAAGTTGGAGGTTTTTTGTTTTCTTTTGTTTTGGTTTGGTTTTTTTGGTCTGTTTTTTCCAATGAATAAGTAATAGGAAAATGATCCTTCTTAGGATAAGGTGAGAAATTCCCCCCTCCTCCTCCCATATTTTTATGTGACTCTAAACAATAGGCCTCTCAGTATGAAAACAGCACCAACATACGCTGCAGAATGAACTTTGAACAGGTGCCTCTTGAAAGTTTAGTCAGTGACCTAGATGGAGCCAAAGTTGCCAATTTTAATAGAAAAATCCAAGCGATTTTTTTGTATGTACAAGTAATCGTTTCAAATACAAATTTTTAACTGGAATGGCAAGTATGGGGAATGGTGAGCAATTTTTTAAAATCTTTCTTTTTTTACATTTTTTTGCCATATGTGACGCATACAGACAAAATCAAACATATTTAAAGGTACAGATGAACAAATGAGTGCTAAATTCTCACCTAAATCAGGACATAGAATTTCACCAGCCATCCCTCCTGCTGTTCCCCATCCCACTGCCAGCCCTCCCTAACATAGCCCTGCAACAAATGATTTTTAAATTTTCTTTCATTTGAATAATTTGGATTTAAATAACTACATGTTGCAAGTGCTACCATCTTGCCCGCCACCAGTTAGAGTATCAATACGACCTAGGAATTTCCTGCTTCTGAAATATTATGTTTTTCCTTAGGAGGACATTACTGATATCCCTAAACTTGCCGATAATCTCAAATTATTTAGGTAAGTAACCTTTAAGGGGAAAGGGAGTGCCTCATAGCAACCTCTTGCGAGAGAGTGAGGAGAATGAATTGTGCACCCTCTGGGCAGGTGTGTGGTTCAGGGTGAGAGAGCCTGGGCTTTGGTGTCAGAGGACAGGCTGAGTTGCAAAACCAGCGCAAAAAATGAGCAGGGCGGCCTTGAGTGGTGTTTTTATGCTTCTTAGCCTCACCTTTGTGATCTAATACATGGGAATAACTTCATCATCTGATTTTGTACAATATGAGCAGGCTCTTGGAAAATATGAATGTGTGACGAGCTTCAATTTAACAAGAACTGGCTAGCTGTTCTCAGGTTACCTCTGCAAGGGACTGACTATAAGATATTTTTGCATCATGACTAAAGGTAGTGCTTTTTGTATTGTACTTCTTGGGTTTGCTGGAGGGATGAGATAAGATGATGCCTATGAAATGCTTACCGTGATTCTTGGCTCATAATATGTGCTCAGTAAATGGTGATACAAACATGACCAAAGTTGCAATAAAGAACTTAATGGGGCTTTCCCAGTGTGGCAGGAGCTGCCTCTCCTTCAGCAAATATTCCTTGCTCTTAACACCCACTCCCCAAAAAAAGGATTTAATGGACTGGGGGCATAGTTCAGTGGTGGTGCAGCCGCCTGCCTTGGAAGTGCAAGGTCCTGAGTTCGATCCCAGGTACCAAAAAAATAATAATAGTAAAGAACTCATACCAGACTGGAGTTCCCTAGGACGGGCTACCTGGGAGGCTCAGGTCTCTGACACCATTTGAAGGCTCTTCCAGTGGTGTAAGAATTGCCTGTCTAGAACTTGGATCCTGAGAGAGAGTAGTCAACTTGTTTATCTACTTTCACCTGCTTAAGTGCTGGTTGATCTGAAACTATAAAGAGCCTTTTGTTTGGTTCTGTTTTCCTGGAAAGAAAGGGACTGTGTTGAGATGAAAGGAATAAGGGCCTTTGAAGTCCTATCAGTTACTTATATCACTTAATGGTTTGTTGACTTTTCTTAACAAACCAACACTTCCCTGGGGCAGCTGATTTAAAAGAAATGCAGATTGTTTTTGATAATGCGGGATGCTAAGAACCACTCAGAAAGACAAGACAATGAGTCAGGCATAAATCAGAAACATGGATCCAAAGTAACAATATTTGTCGCTGGGTTTGTACAGGATTTTTAATATGACGGTAGGGTGTAATCTCAAATACAGTAATAAGGTCATTAATTTAACTTTTGTGGCGCAAACACTGCAACTATAATTGGCTCATCTTGTTACAGTCAAAGCTACAGACAAATAGTAACAACTTGAAGCTATGGCTTCACCATTATAAAATGTTCCTAATTGCTCTACAAAGAAATTGGGCTGTCATAGTCTCTGCACAGAGGCTCTTCAAAGACCAAGTCATGGCAGTGCCCTTCCGGTAGATGTCTGAGATGTTTCCATGAAGGAGCTGAGATGTGGGTGTTAACCCCAGCGTGCTGGTCATTTTTGCTGCCCAGTGGCTTTTGGTGTGACTCTAAGTTGAGAGGGAAGGAACGAAAGTCAGGGGGGATGGAGGAAAAGGAAATTGGAAGAGTAGAGTTCCCTTTCCTCATCAGCATGAAAAATGGACTCATCCTTTGGTTTTTAATTTTGTTTTTTTTTTTGCAGTGAAGCTCTTCATCTTTTTCTAAATAAAATCTATTGAATCTACTATCTAAATAATGGGCTTCACTTTCCAGGAACATGGCATCAGATCAGTGCAACCCTAATACTTCTATAAGTACCTGGGTGTGCTGGGTAAAAATGAGAGAACTGTAATGTGGATTGATCACCAAGTGAAACAGAAATCTCAACTTTTAGGAAGTTGGCTCTACAAGTAAAGTCTCAACCACACAAAGAGACATAGGGCACAGACACAGGCTCTGCGGCTCGGGGCGGGTATTTCCATTTCTGTGTGGAGGTAGGAAATTAAAGCTTTCTGGCCCATGTAAAGCAGTAAACCACACTGAAGTGCCTGCCTAAAGGTAGAAACTGGCAAGGAGGCCAGTTTAGGGTTTAGCAGGAAACAAAAAGCCTACCCATCTTCCAGGAAAAGTAGGAAGGACATTTTATCCTAGAGTTGGGTTCTGTGGGGAAATTAAAAATCTTTCTTGAGAAATCAAGAGCCAAGGGTTACTCTGTGCTTGGATATAGACAGAAACTTAAATGTCTTATGTGACTAGGGAATCCTGAAACAGTGAAAGAGAAACTGGCCCAGGACTACAAAGCCTGTGAAGGCCTACCAATTGTGCACAGTTGAAAAAAATCTTAGAGAGAAATATTCACAACCAGGCAGGCATGGGCTTTCTGCAGAAAACAGTAAGCGCCTGAAAAGTGAGCTTCCGATAAAAATTATAACTGTGTGAGTTCGTGGACCCCCCCCTACAGGACACAGGCCCAGCATGCAAGAGAAGAGTCAATAATTACAGGAAGCTGGGATTTGGCTGAGTGGTTCTACCTCCTGCCTCACGAGCGTAAGGTCCAGAATTCAATCCCTGGTACCAAAACAATAATAATCACAGGAAACAGAACAATCTGAAGAAACCATAAGATCAGTATGTTTAGAATGATTAAATTTTAAAATCATAATAAAGAAAAACAGGCAATGCTGAAAGGGATCGAAGTCTTTTTATATCATTGCGCAGGTTTGATGATGTGTGTACTGACACAGTGGTACAATTTACACATGATTCACTCCGCACATGTTAGGGGCAGATGCCCACCGAGTCTGAAAGATGCGCCATGCCAAGGTAGGAAATGGACCCTGAGTTAAACCTGCTGACACTGTCTCTCTGAGCCTCAGACCGTCTCTAGCAAACTCCCTTTCAGTTCTGATGAGTAAAGTCTTCTGAAAAATGAAGTCCAGCTCACTAGCAGGGGACTTAAAGTCTCACCCTGGGCTCCCTCTCATCATCTTGCTATTTTTTTTTCTTAGAACGGGGTCTCACTGCGTAGTCCAGACTCAGGCAGCCTCAGATTCTGGATCCTCCTGCCTCAGCTTCCCATGCACTGAGACATATTTGGCTATCTTGCTATTCTGATCACCATCTTTACCCATGTGTGAGAAAGCTGCAACCACAGAAAGTACCCTCTCCCCCATTTCCGTCACTTGGCACAGTGCCATTTAATAACCACTTGAAACCCTGTGTGGTCAGGCCAGGGATTTAGCTACGTGGTTCCATTGCCTGCCTCACAAGTGCAAGGACCCGAGTTCAATCCCCGGTAACAAATCAAAACAAAACAAAAACCGAAGCCCTGTATGGTGCACAGCCATAACCTATAACCCTAACCCTCCAGGAGGCTGAGGCAGGAGGATCATGAGTTCAAGTACAGCCTGTGAAATGCAGCCACTTAGACCCTCTCTCAAAATTTAAAGACCAAATAAATAGAATGGGCTTGGGAATTATCTCCGGGCAAAGGCCCTACATTCAGCCCTCCAGCAGTGCTTGTGTGTGGGTGTGTGTATTCACACTCCGTGCACACATACACACAAACTGACTCACCTTGAGCTTTCCATGGACGATCCCCACCTTCTCTCCTTGCCCTGCGGGTACATTTCCGTCACCCTTTATTCTCAGTTTAACTGAACCAGTCTTAGACTCCCCACGCCCCACAGCCTCGCCACTTGACTTGCCGGACTCTAGGGCATTTATTATTTCGTGTTTCCCTCTGAGGAATCCAGACAGCCTGGCTCTTCAGGAAAACACCCACTCGCCGTCTGTCCCACACACTCCAGCTTCTACTAACTTACAAGCTCAGTTTATGTGCACAGTTGTTTTTCTCAATCTTGGAAATCTTAACTCTCTATGATGTTCTTCCAATTTATTTCATAATTTTCATGTAATATTCTCCTGAAACACCTTGGAAGTTTGTTTATTTTAATATGAGTGTCTTCCCCCTTATCTCTGTGCTAAGGGTAGCACATTTCAAGCTCAGGACAGACTAGTGCTAAAATACCAGATGTGCCCAGACTTCTGCAGGGTCCTTAGCCAGGCTCACTCTCCTTGTGTTCTTGGGAGCAGAAGTCCCCTTCCCAGTGTGAATACCCTGATCCATCCCTGTTTGTTTGTTTTTTGTTGGTGGTGGTGGTTTGGGGTTTTTTGGTTTGGTTTTTGTTTTTTGTTTTTGTTTTTGTTTTTTTTGCTTTGTTTTGGTTTTTTTGCTTTGGTTTTTTTGAGACAGGGTCTCACTATGTAGTTGAGAATGACCTGGAACTCACTTTGTAGCCCAGGCTGGTCTTGAACTCATAGCGATCCTCCTGCCTCAGCCTCCCAAGTGCTGGGATTGCAGGCGTGTGCCACCACGCCCAGCTCTGGGTTTTTTAATTTTATTCTTGTTTTTGAGATAGGGTCTTGTTATGCACTTCTGGCTGGCCTCGAACTCACTTATGTAGCCCAGGCTAGCCTCAAAATCACAGAGATCCGCCTGCCTCAGCCTCTGGAGTGCCTAGCTAGCTCATGTGCTCCTTTCTCTCCCTGTCTGTGTACTCTTTCCTAACATCACTCACACTTCCTGTTTTGAATAATGCAAACTTGAGACCTGATGTCAGCACTCACACCCATGTCTACATCAGGACACAAAGTTTCTGGCCCTGTAGTCACCTCTGTTGTATAGTTACCCCCACAAATTTCTTTTTTTTTCTGGTACCCAGATTGAACTCAGGATCTTGCTCTTGTGAGGCGGGTGTGGTGCCACTGAGATGAATCCCTGGCTCCCCCAATCTGTTTTAATAACCGTAGAGTCACTAGAGTTGAGCTACAGATTCCATGAGGCTTCCGTGGCTCCTTAGGAATTTTCCCCTAAGGCTTCAGAGGAAGCTGCAGAAAAGATTTCCCTGTCTGTTAACTGGAAGTTTGTGCTGTGCTGTTTGTGTCAGCAGCTTCTTCTCGGGCCCAGGAAATACACTTGGGATTCAGATGCTGTCAGAGTCACGTAGGCTTCCCACACAGAGCAAAGGAATCCATGGGGCACTTCAGCTATGCCAGGCACTGGGATGAGCACATCACCCGCATGACCTCCTTCCGTCCTCAAGCTGTATCTGAGTTCAAGACTGCTACTGTCCCTTCCACGGAGCGGTGGCCGCAAGGCCCGGGCAGGCAGAAGGGCAGAGCCAGCTCGTGCACCAGAAAGTCGAACCCCTGAGCCTGTGTGTTAACTTCTGCCTCGTGTAGCAACAGCTGGTACACATCTGAGCCTGGCTTTTAGACCCAAGCTAGTAGGCTGCGGTGTAGTTCAGTGGTAGAGTGCTCAGCAGCTCAGAGACCTGGGTTGATCCCACCCCCAAAAAGAAATGATTTAGAAATTTTTCAAATTGTTATCAAAAATACAAAAAATATGTTGTCCACAGGGCCCCTAAAGCACCCTGAATGACTCAAAATTTGCATTGTGCTCTGCAGTTCTGGGTGGTGGTTTAAATGCTTAATGTCCTTTATTTGCAGGCCCAAGAAGCTGATACTAAAAGCTTTCAAACAATACTGGTTCGTCTTTAAAGACACATCTATAGCCTACTTTAAAAATAAGGAACTTGAACAAGGAGAACCAGTAGAAAAGCTAAACCTCAGAGGTAAGAGTACCCTACAGTCCTCTCCCCATGACTTATGGCAACTCAGCAAGCAGCACGAGGCAAGGGTCCTGCCAAACCAGGCGAGGGCCACTTCCAGAGGAGCCAGGAGCCTGCGCACTGTGGCTTTCAGTGCAGCTCCTCTTCCTCAGTGTAGGGTGGAACCAACCAGTCACTCATGGGCAGTGGTTTAGTAATCTCACGCCCTTAATCCTAACATCACACAGTAGATTCACCCACCTGTGACCCCCTGAAGCTTGCGGGGGGACATCTAAACCCAAACCATAACAGATCTTGAGCTTTCTGAATTCAGAAACAGTTTTGCCTGGGCTGGGGTGTGTCTCGGTGGTAGAGTGAGTACTTAGTATTACCCCGACAAAGAAAACAGAGCCAAGAACACTTAGGTTTACTGCAGTGTCTTGTTAGTTCCTATTCTGATTTCTGAAAGTGACTGTGGGTGCACTGCATTGGGGGACCATCTATTATTGAAACATTTAACCAGGGTACTCAGTTCCCTCATCACAGTGGCCGGCAGAGAAGGATCACTGCTCTAATCTCTTTAAAGTTCATTTTCAGGGGGGCCGGAGATTTAGTTCAGTGGTTCTGCCACCTGCCTTGCAAATGTAAGGCAGTTCGATCCCCGGGACCAAAAAAATAAATAAAGTTCATTTTCAGAATTCTTCCTGAAAGTTAGGATAGCCAATATCGTCCTGAAAAATGAATTCAGTTGATTTTTTAATTCAAGAAAATCATTTTTCTTTGTCCTTGGTAATTGCCCCTAAGTCTTGTTTAGTTTTCCTTTCATTTCCTCCACTTTTCAGAAGAGAACCAAATTTGAGGGGGTTATATCTTTGTTAAAGTCTATTTTAGATGTGTCCTTGATAGATGATTCCTCAGAAGCATCTTGACCTGCCTTCTGTCCTTCAGGCTGTGAAGTTGTACCAGACGTGAATGTAGCAGGGAGAAAATTTGGAATCAAGTTACTAATCCCTATTGCTGATGGCATGAATGAAGTGTATCTGAGATGTGACCATGTAAGTAGATTACCAAAGCCATCAACACTTCACCTTTATTAAGCTTATGAGCAAGAATAAACCTATTCTGTTGAAAACACTGTTAGTCAAAAATGTGCTGAATACAACTAACCTGAAAACATCCCTGCTTATCCTGCCTTAAACAGGCTCAGAACATTTATGTTAACCTAGAGGTGGTCAAAATCATCTAACAAAAGCCTACTTTATAATAAAGCGTTAAAAGTCTTGTAGGGGGTTAGGGATGTAGCTCCACATTACAGCACCTGCCTGGTAAGCTCGAGACACTGAGTTAGATTCCCAGTACCAAAAAGAAGTCTTGTATAGTTTATTGAACACTGTACTGAAAGTGACCAAAAGAATGATTGTATATGGGTATTTTTTGGTACCATAGTAAAGTTTAAAAATCATAAGTCAAAGCATGATAAACCAGGGACCATCATGCATTTTCTCAAATTAGAGCACTGTTGTGTCAGTCAGCTATTGCTGTGTAACAAATAGTCACAGTGTAATTAAAAACATAATGACAATTACTTTCTGAAAGATCTGCAGGTTGAATGAGGGATCTGATATTTCTCACTGGTGTAGGTTGATTAGATCTGCTTTGAGCCACAGGCCTGATCTCTTTGCCGCAGGTTGAGCTGATTTTCTTCCTTCCAGGCCTCAAGCTGCCTGCAGAAAGCTCTTGTCATAGTGATAGAAGTATGAGAAGGCATTGGGCCACAAGTGTGGCCTCCTGAAACTTAAGCTTGAGCTTCACCCACACACCATCGGCCAAAGCAAATCATGAGTGTGGGTGGAAATGAAGGGGTAGAAATTGTACTCTGTCTCAGGGACAGCAGGCTGTAAAATTGCATGGCAGTATATGGATACCAAGAGACTAAAGATTGATGCCAGGAATTCAGTGTGCCACCCAACTGCTACTCTGAGAAATTCTGTTCAGCAGCCAACTTCAGCCTCTGGGCAACATCCCTGTTCTCTGTCTGAAGTCAGAAATGAGTACAGATAGCTAGGTGTAATGATGGGCACCTGTATCCCCGGGATTCTGGGAGGCTGAGGCAAGAGGATCAGTGTTCCAGCCCAGCCTGGGCCTCTTAGTGACTTAATGAGACCCTGTCTCAAAATACAAAAGCGCTAGTGATCAAAGCTGGTTTCCTGTCCCCAACCCCTTAGCATCTAAACACTGAGCACAGCTCCCTAAAGCTATTGTTGGCTGTCACATCACAGTTAGCAGCCACTGAGAATTTGTGCCACTTGCATCTTTCCTTGCTGGCAAGGTGACGGCTTTGCGTTTTGGAGCCCTGGCCCAGCTGTGTTTGGGACCAGATGGCTTTGAGCTCTGATATTTCTCAGCCTCTGGCATTCTTTGCAGGAGAATCAGTATGCCCGGTGGATGGCTGCCTGCATCTTGGCGTCAAAGGGCAAAACCATGGCAGACAGCTCCTACCAGCCTGAGGTCCTCAACATCCTTTCATTTCTGAGGATGAAAAACCGGAACTCATCATCTGATGTGGCTTCCAGTCTCGAAAGCATGGACATGAACCCAGAGTGTTTTGTGTCTCCTCGGTGTGCGAAAAAGCACAAGTCTAAACAGGTACTGCTATCTGCATGGGGGCATAGAAATAAAAGAAGGAAGAATTTGATTAAAGCATTTGATTAAAGGCTTTAGCATGAAAAACTGATGACTGGGTATTGGTACTATAAAACTACAGTTACTCTTGTTAGAGGTGATGGTGCTGCTGCCTGAACGTGGGCATGGTCCCAGATTGAGCATAATTATGAATAAAATTTGGTGTGATAGCGAAGGCCTGAAATCCCATTACTCAGGAGGCTGAAGCAGGAAGATCACTGTGAGTTCAAGACCAGTCTGGGCTGCATAGTGAATTAAGGCCAGCATGAACCACATAGCGAAAGCCTGCCTCAATAAATAAGTAAATAAATGTATTTAGTTCCTACAAACTAAAATTACGGTTCCCTAAAAGTGGGTTCAATGTCGGACAGATGATTTTATTGAAGTAGAACGAGTATTCATGTACACTCCACGGACCTGAGAGAGAAACCCAGAGCTCTTCCATCCGCGTGAGCGTTCCACGCGTGTGCATTGGCCGACTTCGACCTTCCCTCTCCTCAGTGATTTTTCATGTCTTCTAGAAAAAGAGAGAAGGAGAAAGAGAGAGAGAGACTGAATAAGAGAATGTGTTGTCTTTAGGGAACTGCAGTCGGGCTGCAGTCATCATCCTCACTGGGGATCCGGGGTTAACTGGATGGGTACAAATCATCGTGAACGTTGAGGCGAGTTTGGTGTCTCCTGTTTCTGCTCAGCTGGCAGCCCGGGTCCTGGAAGCCCACCAGAACGTGGCCCAGATGTCCCTTATCGAAGCCAAGCTGCGGTTCATTCAGGCCTGGCAGTCCCTACCAGAGTTCGGCCTCACCTACTACCTTGTCAGGTGACTGCAACCTTCTCTCCCCTCTGCCACTCCCACTGGAGTCTCATGGCTTTCTGAAAGCCCAGTTTCTTCTCCATCGAGAATGCGAACTCTTCTTATTTTAGAATACTGCCCTTTCTCAAACAGCCCAAACACTTCCCACTGCTCATAGAAACCTTGAAGGCGAGCTGCTCCAATGCCAGCACCTCCTGAGCAGCTAAATGTGCACGAGGAAGTGTTCGACTGTCTAAAGGGGAATTTTTTTCCTTTAGGATAACTACTTAGCAAAAACATTAGGATAACTATTTTAAGAACAATCAGCTACAGGGCCGGGGATTTAGCTCAGTGGTCCGGTGGCCTGCCTTGCAAGCACAAGGACCGGAGTTCAATCCCCAGTACCAAAAAAAAAAAAAAAAAAAAAAAA